TGCCCTGGTGAGCTTTTGCTACCTCTGGGGTCGGCAGCAAACTTGGTTTATGCGGGTCTCTTTAGACAGCCATGGAGTGATTGTTAATAATTAATTGCATCTTTTTTATAACCCTGGCTGCAGTTTTAAATTATGGTCTTTTAAGAAGGAATTACGTTGGTAGCAGACTCTTAAAACACTCTTTTTTTTTTTTGCAGTTGGTTGGCATTTTGGTTATGAATGAGTGGTGACATCTGCTAGTGATGGTGTTACTATATTAGTCTAACCAGATTCCCTAAGGTGACGTGCTGCTGTGATCCCCGGCTCATTGCCACAGGGAGGTGACAGTGTCAGTGTTCTGGGCACAGCGGAGCTGGGAGGCACAGCCCGGTGCAGTCAGACCCCCGTGGGGGGTGGACCAAAAAAAAAAAGCCCAACAAACCAGCCCTACAGGTTGAGACTATTGATACAATGGGAGAGCAGGTCAAATAACAAGCTGGGTCAATTTTTGGAAGATGTCTTCTCAAAAACGTAATATGACTTGCTTGCTAGTTCTGCTTCTTTGGTTTCTTCTCAACCTTATTCTTTGGTATCTTCTCAAACCCCCCTCTTTCAACATCTATCCTTCTTGGTAGTTCTGGTCCTTTTTTCATACAATTGAAAGCTTCTTGTGCTAGGCAGATGAGAAAATCCATTTATTTTAAACTGATGTGTCTACTAGAATAAAAACCCATATTTGTTTTTTTGCCTTTTTGGTATCTCTTGCTCCCTGTGCTTTGAGACTTTTTCTGGTTGGGCTTTTTTTTATGGTGTTTCATTATTTTTCTGTGTGTTTCTTCTCATTTTCTGCTTTTCTTCTGTGCCTTCAAACTTTTTAGCCACTGGTATCTTTGTTGCAATATAGGACAGGTAATTCTTTTCTGCCTGTTTCTTATTTCCTTTTTTTTTTTTATACAAAGCTTTAGTCTGAAGGCATAGCAAGGGGAAACACTTTTAGGTTCCTTTTCTTAAAAGAATAGCTCTGAAAAATGTCAGGGTTGTGCAAGTTCAGCAAATGCATTTGCCTGAGTGAGCTGCTGATGTGCTGTACGAACCTGCATGTGTTTATTCAGCCTAATGGGAATGATGAGCACATGTACTTGACTTGTGATGAGCAACCTGTGCAAAAAAAACTTAATTAACTGCTGGGCTATGTTTTCCAGCTGCAAATGTTTCTGTATGGATTGTACTGGCTATGGCAAAGTAGAAGAGGGGTTTAGTGGTTTTTATTTTTTGAGGACTCTTGTGCTTGATAACTTACCCTGTGTCCCATAGCTAACTCCAGATGGTGAAAATAGGTGGCACTTTGCCTTCATGGGGCATCCTTTTCCTGCTTCACAGACTGTTCATTGTAAGAGTTTTAAGTTGATTAAAGATGATATTTTAGAGGCTGACTTTATAATACCCTTTGTATAATTTAGGCTGCTTAAGGCTCTACTTTTTTTTGGCCTTCGACAAACTAGCAATAGTATTGGGATTATGTGGGG